TCCAGTCATCTGGGATCTTTTCCATCCTCCATGTGTTCTCAAAGATAATCCGTAATAGCTCAGATCTTTTCGGCTAGTTCCTTAAGTATTCTAGGATGTATTTCATCAGGCCTTGCCGACTTGAAGACTTCTAACTTGTCTAAGTCATTCTTAATATGTTCTTTTCCTATTTTAGCCTTCGATCCTATCTCAGTTAAAATCAGTGTAAATATGTTGTCCAATCACTTAACTTTTTTGGTGAAAACTGAAACAAAAAAGGCATTTAACGCTTCAGCGATTGCTGCATTTTCTGTTGTCTTTCCCTTGTCATAGAGTAATGGGCCTACCTTGTCCTTGGTCTTCCTCTTGCTTCCCATGTTAATAAAGAGAAAAAAATGTTGCCCTTTATGTCCCTAGCTAGTTCAATCTCATTTTTTGCCTTGACCTTTCTAATTTTGTCCATACATGCTTGTTGGGTTTTTGTATTCATCCTTTGTATTTTGACTTAGTTTCCACTTTTGTTATGACTCCTTCTTGAGTTTCAGGATTTGAATTTGTTTATAGGTATTTACATGTCTAGAGTTTTTTTATAAATAATGGTAACATTTTTGGAAGGGATATTAAACTTTAATAGCTAGAGATTGGTTTAAGACTTGAAGCATAGCAACTTATTATGGGAAGCAGATTATCTCACATCTGCTTACTAAAGGGTTCTTACATATTCTGAAGCATCTGGAAATAGCCACTGTTAGAGACAGGATTTTTGACTATATGAATCTCAGGTGTGTTCTAGGATGGCAGTTCCTTTACAAGTGTACTTATTTTAGCTTTGACACCTGTTAGCACTTATCCAAAAAATAGCAAAACTTTCTCATCTCCTCTCTGGGGAAAAAAGAAAACATATGCTGTCTTCACTGTCATTCCTTGTACCATACATTACTATTTTCTCATAGAAGTTATTACATAAATTCTTCTACACTAAAACTCATTAGTTCACCCAGAACAATTGTTTTATTCTCTTACTTAATTGGCCTCTCAGAGTTGGTAAGACAACTCCCACCTGTTCATACTCTCTGTATGTGTGTGTATATATCTCCTCAATATATGTTCCACTCTATATGCATCCGAAGAAGTGGGCTGCAGTCCACGAAAGCTTATGCTCTAATAAATTTGTTAGTCTCTAAGGTGCCACAAGTACTCTTGTTCTTTTTCCAGAACAATTGTTCACTTCCTAATTTGCAACATCCACTCTTTTTTTTTTTTTTTTTTTACAAACGTTGCTTTTAAAAAGCAGGGCTAGGACTTTGACAATATAAATTAGTTTTTAATTAATCATTCTAATTGTTCTATAGTCATTTTGTAAAAATAAAAACTGAATGAAACATTGCTATATAAATACTTTGACACATGGAGTACCATTTTGTACCTATAAAATGTGCTAACTAGCAATGTCCAATTCTGTGTACTTCCTATATTTTGATGTTTTACATTCAGAAACAAATTCCGGGCATTACTTCATCAAGTAAAGTTAAAATGACAATCCTGCAGCTATAGTTGTATACATGCTTAGTCAGATCAAAGTAATTCTTAAGTCTCTCATGTCTTGTGTATTTTTTGTCAGTATTACTTCTGTTATGCTGATGCTCTGTGGAGCAAGTGTACAATGGGAAATTTTATCTGGAGCGCAATTAAAACATGGGTATTTGTCAAGCATCTGTAGGGTGACTGTCGTAATACCTCAGAGAGACAATGTGAGTGAGGTAATATCTTTTAGTGAATTAACTTCTGTTGGTGGAAGAGACAAGCTTTTTCAACATACAGAGCACAAAAGTTTCTCTTCCAAGTTGAAAAAGCTTGTCTCTTTCACCAACAGAAGTTGATCCACTAAAAGATATTACCTCACTCACACATTCTAATATCCTGGAATGAACACTGCCACAATAACTGTGTATGTAACTACATAGTCTTACTAACAATGATGGTACATGGTAGATGACTTGTATAGTATGAAATGAGGTTTTGGGGAGCATGGATAGACAGTATAGCAGCAAAGAGGTGAAGAACCATGGTAGTATTGATACAACTATTCCAAACACAAGCACAGCAATGGATGTTCGTGTAGTAGTCAATCGCCAGATCAGCCTATTAGTGAACTTCAAAAATGAGTATTATGTAATTTCCATGCCATCAGGCATGCATTTCCTGAAAAATGACATTGTGATTTCCCCCCCCTCCCCCCCCCCAGGTCACAGGGCATTTTGACTGTGTGTGAAAGGAAGGTCTTTTGTAGAACATCTTAATCTTGCTCTGACTGTTGTTGGAAGACATCTATAGATAATATATACATTCCTGTTTAGAACTCCCTCAAGCTTTTAGAACACTGAGTAAGGGGAGGATAAAATTGTATCTGCTTTCTAAACTGTTATAACTGCTAGTTGGAATGCTTCTTTTCTTCTCTCCCCCTTCCCCCCCTCCTCCAGGCAAGAAGTGAAAGCTAACTACTCTTAAAGATATTTCCTTTAGTCACACTAACTGGGGGTATGCCCAAAGCATTTTTACTAAATTGCGTCTCCAGACTTAGTGGAGGGCGGAGGCAAAATACTTTGGGTACAGAATAAAAAAAACACAGTGGGTATGTGCTACAGATTCCTCAGGACTGGACAGCAAAATTCCTAGATGGGTTTTCAAGGACTTTTTAATATGTGTTGCCATTTTCAACTAGTTTAGTTTAGAAGGCCTTTGGGGTGGGGCTTAAGGAGCTACGTGCACTCTGTGCTATAAAATATTACCATCACACTTCATGCGTAACAGTTTAAATATGGGTTATCGGAAGTTCCTATGTTAAGGGCAGCTTTCTGAACCAGAACTTTAGAATTCAAGGGATCTCTTCTGTACCCAATGCCATTCAATATTTTTATCAATAGTCTGGAAGTAAATATAAAATAGCTGCTGAATTTAAAATCTTGTGATATACAGACTGGTGGAGTCGTAAATATTGATGACCGGGTAGTTGCAATGATTTGGATCACTTGGTAAGCTGGGCCTATTTGATCAAAGACAACTTACTATCGCCAAATGCAAGGTGATTAAATCTAGAAGCAAAAAATGAAGGCCATACTTGCAGAACTGAAGACTCTCTATCTTGGAGAGCAGTGACTGTGAAAAGGATTTAAGGACCATTAGTGGAGTAACAACTGAACATGAGCTCCCTGTGCAATGATTAGGGCCCTATCAAATTCACGGCCATGTAAAATGCGTCACCGACAGTGAAATCTGCTCTTTTGTGTCTTTTTTTTTATAAAGATTTCATGGGGGTGACCAGTGTTTCTCAAACTGGGGGTCCTGACCCAAAAAGCAGTTGCGGGGAGGGGGTTGCAAAGTTATTTTGGGGGGTGGTCACGGTATTGCCACCCTTATTTCTGCGCTGCCTTCGAAGTTGGGCAATCAGAGAGCGGTGGCTTTTGGCCAGGCACCCAACTCTGAACGCAGCACCCCACCAGCAGCAGCACAGAGGTAAGGGTAGCAGTATCACAACCCCTCCCTACAATAACCTTGCAACACTACACCCCCCAACTCCTTTTTGGGTCAGGATCCCCTGCAGTTACAACACCATGAAATTTCAGATTTAAATAGCTGAAATAATGAAATTTACAATTTTTAAAATCCTATGACCATGAAACTGAATGGACCATGAATTTGGTAGGACCCTAGCAATGCAGTAGCAAAACAGGCTAATGTGGTCCTTGGATGTATAAGTAGGGAAGTAGTTAAAAGTAACCTTCCTTATTCCTATTGTCTCTGCATATGGTAATGGTGAGAGAGATCCTAAATATTGAATCTAGTTCTGGTGTCAACATTTTTTATAAGGATGTTGAAAAACTGGAGAGGGTGCAGAGAAGAACCACATTTTTTTTAAGGGCTGAAAAAAGTCTTACAGTGAGAGACTGAAGATGCTCAGTCTGTTTAGCTCCTCTCCCCCTCCCCCCCAAAAAAATAAAATAAGGAAGTGACTTGATTATGGTGTGCAGGTACCCTCACAGAGAGAAAATACCAGGTACTAGAGGGCTGCTTTATTTATCAGAAAGGTATAACAAGACCAATATCTAAAGTTAAAGGCAGACAAATTCAAATTAGAAGTAAGATACCAATTTTTGATTAATCATTGGAACAAACTGCCATGGGAAGTTATTTGGTTCACAGGAGTAACTGGATGAAATTCTGTGGCTTGTGTTGTACAGGATCAGACTAAATGATCTAATGGTCCCTTCTGACTTAGTCTGTGAATAGTGTCCCATATGTATATGTGCCTCAGTTAATGGAAAGCCTGTGTGTAGGTAAAGAAAATTACTGGCTACTTTCAAATATACTTAGGAGAGAATCTAACTGTTCAGTAAATCAGTGGACACAATGGTGGAGACCTTGGGCAAGATAAAGACATTCTAACCCTAGGCAGTGCAGTAAAAGCTACAAGCTGTTTTGCAGAGTGGAAAAACTAGTTATTGATATATATACTTGTACTCACAAGGCTGAAATATTTTGTAATGGATCTTACTGCATGCAGAGATACATAGTGTAATCCTTTGGTATTGAACTAGAAACAGTTTTTTTTTTTAAAAGGTATAACTTTAACTGTTCTGGCAGCGAGGAAAATATTCTGGAGGCATCCTTTTTTAAGTTGGTGGATAAGTAGAATTACTACTATTAATAGTAATTCTGAGTACAGGTTATGACTGCCAGTTAGGGTCTGTAGTTTCCATGTTGTATAGTAAATCAAGAGGCAGCTTGCTTAGATTATGCCTGCCTTAGTTCATGTAGTGGTAGGTATCATGGAGTTATCAGCCATATAACATTAGTGTTAAAATTAGTTTTTTCAAATAGTGAACATCACTATAGTGAACACTATAGGTACATAGCTATAGGTACAGTTACAATACATTAACACTGTAATATACTTAAGTTCATGTAATGCGGTTGTCCTTTAGTAGAAATTTGGGATCTCATTTTTTTATTGTGTATTTTAGGTATCAAGGGGGTGACTTAACACTTTCATCATGCGTGAATACAAGCTAGTTGTTCTTGGCTCAGGAGGTGTTGGAAAGTCTGCTCTGGTAAGTAGTATTCCTTTAACTACTGTAACTAATAGATCTCTTTTGAAGCAGTTTAGACATTTCTTTTTCTACTGACTTGCCTTATTTTTAGTTAGTAGGTAGGTGTACTTTCATGCATACTTCCATATGTGCATGGAAACTAATGACTTGAGTGTGAATGGCTAGATATAGACACTTACCTCCCCATATTATATATGCAAACTTGGGCTTTGTGCCTGCACATTCAATATCAGGTGTCCATTCGTGTGCATGAATGTACGCTTGCCAATCTGCTGGAAATCAGACCCTCAGTACTAAAAGGATGCTTAACTTAACCTTAGGAACACATTATTGCTGATCTCATCAACTTGAAGGTTAAGATTGAAATATGTCTGAGATCAAAGTTTGACTTTATCCATGTCTGGTTTTGCTACTACCTCACAGTCATAGTGCTTCTCAGCCATAGGTCTCAATGTTTTGCAAAAGAAGGAAAGTGCATCCCTACTGCACTGGTGAGAAACTAGGCTATCAAGGTGAAATAACTTATCAAAGATCACTCATATATTGGGGTCTGTTACGGGGTGGAAGTGGAACAGATCCCGGTCAGGTCAGCTCAGCTCCCAGTTCATTGGATGACTGTGCCAGCTACTGAGACAATGGTGGTGGGGGTTTTTTTGTTTTGTTTTCCCCCACCCTGTATTTGCTTGGTTACGTTCACCAGTATAGTGAGGATATATACTGCTCTGGAAAATGTACTGAGGAATTCATGCCTGATTGTGCACTGGTACCAAAGCCATTCCACCCACCACTCCATCTCACTACCACCATAGCTGAGCCTGCAGAGTTGGGCTCCTGCTCTCTCTTGGCTCTCACTGCTGCTGCCACCACCATTGAGCCTCATGAACCCAGGCGGAGGAAAGAGGATGCTTCTGTTCATTACTTTCTCTCCCCAGATGTGCAGAGAGTGGAGGAATGAAGGGAATTCTCCAGTGGTAGGGAAATTGGAATATATTTCCCCGAAGGTGGGAGAAGGGGAAGTGTTGAAATAGTGATGGGATTCCCAAAGTGTTTGGGGGTAGGGAGGAGCAGGAGGGTTGCACAGAGGGTGAGTTAATGGACAGAGGAAGGAAGGTTTCAAATGTTTAACTAAATGTGATACTTAACCTGGCTAAGAAGGCACATTCTGAAGTTGGGCAAGACCACAAAAATTGCCTTTTGCCAGTCCACTCTATTCCTGGACTCTTACATGAAAAAGTAACTTGGCCCTTGCCACAGACTGCATAACACCGCTGATTTAGTCAGTGTTTTTGTTGTTGCAATTTCATTTGAATTACTAATTGGAGAAACATAATAAATAATCTGTATGGTCAACAGTTCTAAGGGCAACAAATACAAAACAAAGTACAGCAAAGTTGAAACCGCATAACTTGGGTTACAGTACGTATACATACTGGTTTTGTAAAATTTAATCACTTAATTTTGCCCACATTTGCTCAGTTGTTAATCTGATAAAAGTAGTAAGTCTCTCCACTTCCTAACTTATTCTGGCCAACCATATTTTTGTAGTTAGTATGGATGTTGCAGCCATACTGTTTTAGCCGTAGTGGGAGAATGAGGCCATTTGCAGGGACTTCATTTGTTATGCATCTGAGTGTAGAAATTGTCCTGGTTTGCTCTCAGTTTGGGTTAAATTAATGTTAAATAATGTTATACAAGTGGGACAATGCAGAATATGTAAGTCTGGGGCAATATACAGTTTTGTAAAATGAGATTTGTTTTTACCATTAGTGTAGAAATCGCTTCCCGGCTCTTTGAGCTCTGGTCAAGTGAAAAATTCTCTAAGTTATATCTCTTGGATTTATGCCTGTCAATAAATGAAGTGATTGACTTTTTGTTGGTGAATCTACACATGCACTTAATTTGCCTAAAATGTTCTAATACTCTTAACTTTGAAGCCATTTTTAAACCAACTTCGTGAAGAAATTTTCATCTTCACGCTCCCATCAAATTAGATGCTCCGAAAAACTGTAGACCACCTTCTCCCACTGTGTACAGGAGGGTAGGGCGCTTAACACTAACCACCACGCCTTATGGCAAATTTCAGACTTTCAGGGTTCGTACCCTGCCTGTCCTGTGACTGACTGATCCCTGTCAAGGATGGACATAGCCAGTGTCTTTGCTTCTGGGAGAGCCACATCCCAGAGAGGCCTCTGTGTGCAAGCGTTCTTTCTCCAGCACCTGCAAATCCAGGGATGTGCAGCTCAAGCTATATCTGCTAGGGTAGTCTATGTGGGTCACTTGAGACCTAGAGATGACGGTTACTCCCGGAGTGACACCAGATAAGCCAACATCAGCCAGTGCTCTTTCAAGTCAGACACACGTTATACATTGGAATTGGGCGGTAGAAAGAGGGTGGAAAGGATGCCATCAGAGCTGGCACTAGTGACTAGCCAACCCCCTCAAAGTCACCAGCTGCCCAGGCAGCAAAGCCAGCACCTGTCACTATAAAAGTGTCAATAAATCAAAGCCAGATATTCAAACATTGCTCCAGGCACTAAGGAAAATTACAAAAAAAGGACACACAACATTACTCCAAGGACAGAGCCTCTAGGTCCTCAATCAGAACTGGAATGGCATAGTGGAAAAAAGATCCCATGGTGACCTCTTTCCTGGTATTGTGACTGAGCCCAGTAAGGGCCTGAGATTTGTCCTGGAGGGATCCATATCACTTCTGGAGACATTCCATTTCCACTAGGCCTCGGTGGCCATCATAGCTGACAAATGGGCATTGAACATCTCCCAAGGCTACCCTATACCTTTCCACTCCTTAACCCTGTACCTATCCCCTTCCCTTTTCAGGGACCCTTCTCACAAGAGCCTGTTACAATTAGAAGTGGTGTCATTGCTTTGTCTGGGAGCTCTGAGAGGTACCTATGAAGTACAGGGGAAGAGGCTTCTACTCAAATATTTCCTTGTCTCAGCGAAAAAGGGGGTTCTCTGTCCTGTCCTAGAGCTGAGAGACTCAAATACTTACACATCTCAGATTCAGAATGGAAACGCTTGTCTCTATCAGTCTGTCTCTTCCAGCTCAATATTGGTTCAAGGACAGATCTCAGCAGGAGATGGCAGCAAACCTAGCCTGTTCTTTCAACTGGGTTTTTTAGTGAACTAAGAAAAATAAGCCTTTAGCCTGTTACAGATAAGACTGAATGCTGATCGATTCCAGGGCAGTGAGTGTACCTTGCCAAAGATGGTCTTGTGAATGCATTGGCTATTACTCTAGATAAAAGTAAACCCAACAATGATCGTAGATGTGTTTGGGGCTGCTAAGCCATGTGTCAGCATGCTCATACATAATGTTGCTTGCTAGACTTCACCTATGGCAGTGGTCACCAACCGGTTGATCCTAGAGTATCTCCCAGTTGATCACGATCTCCGGCGGTGCAGCGTGGCTGCCACTAAGGCAGACTCGCTGCCTACCCTGGTCCCACGCCACTCCTGGAAATGGCCACCACAGCCCAGGGGGGAGGGGCAGGGACAGGGGTCTCCCTCCGTGCTCTGCTCCTGCCTGCAAGTACCATCCACACAGCTCCCATTGGCCGAGAGAGCTGGGGGGGCGGTGCTTGAAGAGGGGGACACACACACACAGCATGAAACACTATACACACTATAAGGAGAGTGATCAGTTAAGGTGAGCTTTTATCAGCAGGAGAGAAAAAAACAACTGTTTGTAGTGGTAATGAAAATGGCCCATTTCCAGCAATTGACAAGGAGATATGAGGAACTGTAGGGGGAAATAGTTTTACTTTGTGTAATGGCCCATCCACTACCAGTCTTTGTTCAAGCCTAATTTAACGGTGTCCAATTTGTAAATTAATTCCAATTCAGCAGTTTCTCATTGGAGTCTGTTTTTGAAGTTTTTTGTTGGAAAATTGCGACTTTTAGGTCTGTAATTGAGTGGCCAGGGACATTGAAGTGTTCTCCAACTGGTTTTTGAATGTTATAATTCTTGACGTCTGATTTGTGTGCATTTATTCTTTTACGTAGAGACTGTCCGGTTTGGCCAATGTACATGGCAGAGGGGCTGGCACATGATGGCATATATCACATTGCCAACTCTGTCCACATATCTATTCAGGGGATACCATCATAGGGACCTAACCACATCAGCCACACTATCAGAGGCTCGTTCACCTGCACATCTATCAATGTGATACATGCCATCATGTGCCAGCAATGCCCCTCTGCCATGTATATGCTTATTTTCCTCCCCCTCCTCCCCCCCAGTTTCTCACATCTGTCAATTGCTGGAAATGGTCCATTTTCATTACCACTACAAACAGTGTTTTTTTTCTCTCCTGCTGATAAAAGCTCACCTTAACTGATCACTCTCCTTATAGTGTGTATAGTAACACCCGTTGTTTCATGTTCTCTGTGTATATACATATACATACATACACATATCTTCCTACTGTATTTTCCACTACATGCATCCGATGAAGTAGGCTGTAGCCCACAAAAGCTTATGCTCAAATAAATTTGTTAGTCTCGAAGATGCCACAAGTACTCCTGTTCTTTTTGCGGATACAGACTAAACACGGCTGCTACTCTGTCCAGGTGGGCGTCCCTGTCATATTTTCTAATCTGCATATGCAAGGGAACTAGGTCCCACGAAAACCTACGGACGTCCACC